TGCTGTGCTAGATGGTATGTCTTTTGCAATGAAAAAAAAAAAAAAAAAAAAGAATTTCACATTTTGGCTTAGACTAGATTATTGTGGAATAACAAACACAAAACCCAAAGAAATGATAAAAATACCTCACTGCTGGGACATACAAACTTCATGTAGGTTATCAGGTAATGATCACAAAAAAAAGACAGCAATATTACAAAAGCTATAATGAGAGTCTTCATAAATAACAATTTCTGAAAGTGAATACATAAAAGTTTCCAGAATTAGTTAAAAGATCAATGAGTTGTATGTAATTATATGTAAAATAAAATCTTTATTTGTATGCAATAAAATAGTATTACTAATGGCACAAGTACTTAAAAAGGACAAAATTTCAGGAAAATATTTTGTCTTCTACTCACAGAAAGGAAGAGGCTTGGAATGTGATTGAGGAGAAATTACTGTTTATGTATTTAATCTCTATTTATAACATAAAAATATCATATTATTAGAGATTTGGAAATTCTAAAACAATGTATTCCAGAGATAAATCTTTACCCATGTTATGGATGGGACATTTGAAAACCAGAAAGATAAAAAAAAGTTAAGATGGTTTCCAAGTATTTCCTGTAGACATTCTATAATAGGTTCTATACAGGAAAAAAAAAAAAAATTCCATGAGAAAATGACTTTGTGAAACACATTCATTATCTCTCTCTCTCGGAGATTTAAAATACATATTAACTTGTTATTGACTCAAAGAAGTCCTGTAATCAAAAAATGTACTTAAATTTTTTTAATCTAAATTTTCCAAATTTGTTTAACCATGAAGTGGAACTAATGTTCTCAGAACATACTTTAGAAAACCCCAAGCGAGGTGGACGAGGCAAGGATAATTATGTACAAAAAAAATAAACAAACAAACTTTTGTATTCTTATCATGGTCTAGGTTGCTTACTAGAACCTCTTCATTATGTTTACTCTTATTAAACTGTATGAGTTTTTAAAGGCAAATAAAATGTACTCACTGTTGCAGTACTTCCTTTCCCTTCTGAATGGAGCTCTCAGCCAATGACAGGCTACTAAAGGAGTTATTTCAAGCCAAAATGTAAAACCCTTGCCAGTGGTTCCCAAGTTTAATGGAACTGGAAGCTCTATAACACCAGAATATTTCTCACAGGGAAACAGATCAACTCCGCTCTTTTACTAGAGGTATGATAGTGAAACCCATTATACATGATTCTAGAATAAACAGCACAGGTCCAGCAAAGTTCAATAAATTAAGATCAGTAGTACTAGGGCAGCCCATATACATCAAAAGATACCACTCACTAGAGGTAAAAAGAAAAAGAAATTTAAAAATTAAAAGGCCAAAAGGATATAACGTTTAGGAAACAATGGAAATTGAGAGATGACTAATAAGACGATAAAAATAAGACTAAAGAGAAATAGTATTAAGTAGAGACATACATAGGATTTAAAAAGAGAATGAACAACTGACAACTCATTATGGTATGCAATCAAATAGGTATCGTAAGTTCACTTTTAGTCCATCAACATCAAGGTTCATCATCACTGACTATAAAAGAGAGAAGTTGCACTGAGAGAGTTTCATCTGAAAGGGAATAAAGTCTATGGTAAAATGAGCAACATTATTTTTCTGCTTTTTTAGATGCAGATGAAAGAAACTCAGAAATTCATCAGAAACTAAAACCGGGTGCGTGTGTGTGTGTGTTCAATGGGATGCCTTTTCAGATTTATGAAAAATCTTTAAAATATATTGACATGAGTGTCAAGATACATGCCCAATAGGAGACTAACATCTCTGAGACCACAGAAATAAGACAAAACAAAAATATTCTTCAAAACCACTTATTTTACTACTTTATTTCCTGTGCACTATTAGTAAGTCTTCTACATATATTTGCAAAAGAATGGTAAAATTCAGTACAGTCTGAAATTACAGCTTTAAAAGTATCTATAAGTAAAGTAAATGAAAAGATAAAATTTGCACTTCCAGGAGAACAAGTTTTGGGACTACTGAACCAAAAGTATCAGAGAGAAAAATAAGATCTCCTGAACAATTCCAGCCCCGTTCAGTTGTGACTCTCACCCATGATGCTTCCTTAAGACTATGCTGAAGGAGGCCAGGAACAGTGGCTCACGACTGTAATCCCAGCACTTTGGGAGGCTGAGGCAGGCGGATTACCTGAGGTTGGGAGTTCGAGACTAGCCTGACCAACATGGAGAAACCCCGTATCTACTAAAAATACAAAATTAGCCAGGCGTGGTGGTGCATGCCTGTAATCCTAGCTACTCAGGAGGTTGAGGCAGGAGAACTGCTTGAGTCTGGGAAGCAGAGGTTGTGGTGAGCCGAGATCACACCATTGCACTCCAGTCTGGGCAACAAGAGCAAAACTCTGTCTCAAAAAAAAAAAAAAAAAAGACTATGCTGAAGGAAAAATCAATCTATTATATAATATTGGACATACAGGTAAAGTATCATAAATATACTTCTTAATTAACCAATGCCATATATTCAGAAGGCCCTACTTTAGGTTACCATTAATAAAGGGGAGATTTAGGTGATAAAAGATTAATGGAATAGCTTCTGGTATTATTCACATATACAAAAGAAAAAAGAAAAAAAAAAAAAAAAAAGAATGCTGAGGGCTGGGCAAGGTGGCTCACACCCATTATCCCAGCACTTTGGAAGGCCAAGGCAGGCGGATCACCTGAGGTCAGGAGTTCAAGACCAGCCTGGCCAACATGGTGAAACCCTGTTTCTACTGAAAAAAACAAAAATTAGCCTGGGCGGTGGCGGGTGCCTGTAATCCTAGCTACTAGGGAGGCTGAGGCAGAAGAATTGCTTGAACCCAGGAGGCAGAGGTTGCGGTGAGCCAAGATCATGCCATTGCCCTCCAGCCTGGGTAACAAGAGCAAGGCTCCATCTCAAAAAAAAAAAAAAAAAGGGAAGAAAAAGAAAGAATAGAAAAATAAAAAGAATGCTGTAGATTTTTCAAATAGTTATGCTAACCTAATACTTAATATTTTTAATCTAGCATTTTCCAAATTTGTTTAACTATGAAGTGGAACTAATGTCTACTTAATAATAGTTAAATAATTTGAGGCTTAAATTATTTCATGAATTGTAATTAAAGTTAGAAACAGCTGCATTATTCTTAAAATAACTTTAGAAAGAGTGATGGCATGTGTTAGGTAATATCCTGCCATGTTATTTCACTCTGGGATTTACTTCACCCTCAGAAAAAAGAAACATGAAACAATAATATAATCTATACTTTCATTGCTCAATAAAGAAAAACTCAGAATACCCAGAAACCTTTTAAATATGTTTTTACATATAGTTTATTTAAATAGATCATAATATGTTATTATCAGATACTAGAATTCAAACAATATTTTGTACAGGTTATTAAAATAGCATATTATTTTCTTAGTATTATTTTAAATGGTCAATTAAAATGTCCCCACTGAATAATATAGCTAGGTCAAAACTAAATCTCAAGTTTTTCGTAATATTCCATTAGGCTTAACTATCACAAACTGAATTTGGAATTAAGGGTTAGATATGAACAAATTTTAAGGTAACATTTATGCATATGGAATACATTTATTAATAAATGTTCCGTCCTTCTGTGTCAGAGTTCTCATATCTCCAGCAAAGTGTTTTTGTATAATCCGCAACCTCCCACAAAAATTGTAAAAGGCTGGGTGACAGATGAGGAAGAAATAAATAAAGCACCATCTAATACAACCAAACTTTATTAAAAGAAAGCTTAAAGATACTGCATGGAATCCCTAAGTTCCATGTACCACAATTTGAAAATTATGTTCTTGAATGGCGCTAAACTAGCCATATGGTTTCTTTCTGATTTACTCTTGTTTATATTAGAAAATGAACACTGCTCACACGGCAGTCTCTGAAAGTTTCCCAAAATATGTGTGGTAGAAGAAGATGTATTTCAGTGACCTTAACCAGTAAGTATGAAAAATTATAACCACTAACTTATTTAAGAACTTATCAGTAAAAATGTAAAATCTTCTGGACTAGGGTCACATAGGTGCTTGTATTGTTTACTAAATACTAATTGGCAAAACCACACTGTTACATAATTCTAATCTTCCTCTGAGGTCAATGGTTTTTATAAGAATTATCCTTCTTAATATCTACTACGATATTTTATCAAATAAAACTAGATGGAGCCTAATTTTATAACTATGCCATTAAAATTACTAACACGACCTATATTTAGTACTCATTTTAAACTCATTATTATATGTATCACAACTCTCCATCACCCTCCTCATTAGAATTATGGAAGGTTCTATTTTTCTTTTTAATATTATAATAGTGATGGAATAATTTGTAGCTTCTTATTAATATTATTTGAATTTGAAAAGGTAACTTTCACATGTGCTTCCCAGGATGACATTGTAAAATAAATTGTATACAAAGTTACTTCAAAACCAAAACTTGAGATTGATAGTTCTTCATTTTAAAGTATGCTAACATGAAAATATACATAATTATCATAAAAAAGAACCCAAACCCTCTTACAAACAAATTTTACTTTTTAAATAGATAAAATATATAAGAACTTTTTTTTTTTTTGAGAGGGAGGCTCGCTCTGTCGCCCAGGCTGGAGTGCAGTGGTCGGATCTCAGCTCACTGCAAGCTCCGCCTCCCGAGTTTAGGCCATTCTCCTGCCTCAGCCATTCGAACAGCTGGGACTACAGGCGCCTGCCACCTCGCCCAGCTAGTTTTTTGTATTTTTTTAGTAGAGACGGGGTTTCACCGGGTTAGCCAGGATGGTCTCGATCTCCTGACCTCGTGATCCGCCCGTTTCGGCCTCCCAAAGTGCTAGGATTACAGGCTTGAGCCACCGCGCCCGGCCATAAGAACTTTTTAAAGAGATACAATTCTTTAAGTTATGCTTTCTTCTTCCACATTAATTTTATCTTTAAACTAATATGGAATAATAATCTATAATTATTTAAATTAAAACTTCAGTAAATAACATTTTCTGTACTCGTATTTTGTTTAAAGCTTCAAGAAGAATTCAGACCCTAATCAGATATTTCAGTTTGTTTCATATAATAAAAACTATGACTTTCTTATCTTTGTGCAGAGGGCAGGGATTTTTGTGTTTTATAGACTTAAGTATTCCCTCACCAGTGCCCGACACCTAAGAGATGTACTAGACACTTAATGAATATTTATTGAATAAATGAGTATTCTACAGAAAAACACTTAAGACAGGATGACAACTTAAAAGACAATAACAATTTGCCTATTACTTTCCAGAAGTACTGGCCAAGATGATGTGCATTGTATGTTAAGGTCTTAGAACTAACAATTACCTACACAATAATCATTTTTATAGTTGAAATAATAGCTGAACAATGATCATTTCCTGATACCAAGAAGTGGATACTATGAACTTTTAAAAAGAAAGTTTAGGTATCAGCACACTCTAAAACACTTCTTAGGATATAAAAGTCTCAATAAAATTCAGGTCATGAATATTTATGGAAAATGAGGACCCAGCAATGTTTTCCCAGGTTTAGGAGAACAATTCAGAAGGAACAACACAAAAAGTTTGCCTGACCAGCAGCACCAGGGTATTTTACAAGCTTCCAAATTGCCTGTGGCATCTTTTTGCTGGTTTCCTGGAATTAGTTTTAGAGTTTAAAGGAACCAATTTGGAAAGGGCCTGTGGAAAACAAAAGTAGCAGGTTTTCTTTGCCCCTAAAGTTTTCTCATACAGCGGTAGGAAACAGAAAATCTGTTTTTTTCCATATGTAATTTTACTAGTAAAACATGAGACTCCATAATGCTTCATTTACTTTGCTAAAATAAGAAAAATCCTACAATGTTAAAAGAACTCATTTTTTGAGATAAATAAGAGCATTTATGCAGTTAATAATGAGTTATTTATCCAGTTAATACCTTCAGGGGCTAAGAGATATATTAAGCTGGTGGCCTCTATATTTCAAGGAGATATTATTATTATTAAATAATAACACACATCTCATGTGTGTTAACTAGAAAGTTCACTGCAATAAAGACATCATATTAAGATAGAATATCTTAAGACAGCCAAAACAAACAAACAAACAAACAAAAAATAACAGGTGAAATCTAGCTAGAACAAATAAATCACGGATGACAACAGAAGTTTAATGAATCATTTTGAAGAAAATTAGTATTTAATCATAATCAAAACACACATTTTGGCCATATAAATGTGTACTCAAAGACACCAACATTAACACTTTCAAAATATTTCAAAAATATACTCCCCAAGTGCGTATGTTCTAGAAGTAAAAATATATATCCACACGAAAAGGAGAAATAAATATTTGGCCTACTGACAAATTTAAGGCAAATAATTTCTAAATTTCATGAGAAAAACATTAACACTTACATTTAAAGTATTAACTTGATTTTTATTTTAATTTTCCATACAACGGGCTATTAACTTAGTCATCGAGTCACTTCATATATCATGCTTTTTATTTAATGATTTATGCTTATACTTTTAAAAGACAATACAAGCAACTAATTTTCTACAAAGGCTTTTGGCTTATATGCAGGCTTTTCTGACTGTTTTTCTGCAAACTAGTTTAAAAAAATCTTCACTAAATGATCACTGCTACATTCAGGAAAACAGGAGTTTTCCAAAATCTTATGGCAATAACAAACATAAATCTTAATAAAAGATACCATTTCACAATAAAAAAAAATTGTAGTGCACATATATAGTGCACAAGTTAAAAAGTTAAAAATTCCACAATCCATAGTATAATTGTGCTAAGGCCTCTCTAACCATTCCCCTGCAGCTTTGCAGCCCTTTAATTTTTCTAGTGTGATTTATCAGTTATAGTTATCTTCTTATTGGTACAGTGAATGTTTCGTTTTTTGATAATTTTGTACATTTTTGATTGACTTAAAACTTGTGATAATTTCCTCTTCACCAAAATTTTTAAGAAGTACTCAAAGACCCCAACATTAATACTTTCAGGGGCTAAGAGAATTCTATACTAACTCCACATTACATGTACTGACAGCAACACAGACTATATTTCTTCAGGGTTTTTTGACATCTATGTGCACACAAATATTTTTTAAAATACAAATAGGTCGAGATATATTAAGCTGGTGGCCTCTATATTTCGAGGAGATATTTCTCTCAACTAAGTTAATTATTTATGCAGATAAAGAAGAAAGGCTGATCATGATGTGCATGATCCAGAGATGTTTGTTATAGTAACTTATGCAAATTCATAAAACATCAACAACCATTTGATTATAAAAGTATGAGAAAAGAAATACCAGACTCTCCAAAAGATTCAGTGATTCTATCCTGCTTCTTTCTGTAAAATATTTCAAATATTTTATAAAAGATTTTTAAGTTGATTGTAGAAAAAGAAAATAGGTTAATAAATGACATAATAATAGATAAATATTCATAAATAAGTAGGAAGAATATGAAAGTATTGCTGTAATTCAGAACAGAATCATTAAATGAGCTGTGACACCTGATAAATTGATTTTCCAGCTAAGTTTATACAGACCTAAAATCAAGGATAAAGCAATGAGGACTCTTAAAGGAGAAATACAAAAAGTCACTGACTATAGAAAGAAAATGATCACTTCAGGACCAAACACCTCTCAATAGAAGAGCTACAGTGAGGAATAAGAAATGTGCTCATCAGCTATGGCCACCCTGGAACAGCAAAAGGAAAGAGAGAAGAAACCACATAAGAAAACTAATTTTTTCTTTAGGGAGAGAAGAATAAAATTAATCTCTTATTAAGTCTTCTAAAAAGTAAGAAGTAAATAACATAAGAATTGTATTTTGAATCTTTAACTGCTACGGCTAAAAACAACTGGGAACATAATAAATAGCAAACCAGGACTCAACTTCTAGAAATACAGATTCAATACATAATTACTTTCATCATCAAAACTAGATTAAAATGTGTGTATTAATGGAAAAGAGAATGAAAATAGCCATCATATGAGAACCTCTCGGAAGACTAAAAATATAGTTACACCAAGTTTCTCCAAGAAAAGAAAGATGTAAATTAGACATTGATGATTTGGGGTTTTTAGGCAAAGAGCAATTAAAGTTTAGAGAATAAGAGTTAGGGAAACAATCTCTTAATTAAACTTTGAGCCATTAGTAATCTTATGTTGTAAAAGTTGAAATAATAAATTATCTAGAAAATAATTTCTCTAGAACAAAATGCCAAAAAATAAAGATCCATGGCCCAAAACATTATTACTACTATTAGAGTTTTCGGTTTTTTTGTTGCCATTTTATTTCTCTTTCTGGAAGGTAGAGAAGGGGTGCCACTGAAGATATGACAGAAAAATTTTAGAAGACCAAAACTAAAAGCAGTTCATGAGAAAACAATGTATCCTTCAATGATGAAAGCTACTGTCTGGATGATGTAATTTTCTAGAATATTTTGCTATTTTAGGAAAATGCCAACATATTTGTTGATATTGGCTTATAACAATAAATTTATTAATAGCTACTCACAAACTAAATGAAAGAATTACGAAAAACTTCACAGAGCTCATTCTAATACATCTTGTATTCTTGTTTCTGCCTAAATGTAAGAATCAATCTATATACAATCACATACGTTCTTTCTAAAATGGACTCCATGAGGCCAGTAAGTTCTAAGTTACATCATCAAATTTATCACACAGCTTTGATATAACATTTGGTAACAAAACTAATCCAATAATTAGCAAACAGATAATTTATAGTTAACCTGTACATATATACATCAATATATATGCAGTAAATGCAGTGTAAAATTGTATATAACTTAAAAGTGTTTTTCTTAATTTCACCTGTAACTAAAATAATAAATGATACATGCATATCCAACAGAGATTTGAATTTGACAGCTGCTGGACATAATTTAGTAAAATTCAAAGTAACAAACTGGGAAAAAAACAAAATATGCATAAACACCCATTTCACACGTAGAAATTTTTGGCGAACATGTAAATAAGGGCACCTATTTCCAAAGCATAATACAACAAAACATTATACAAAAAAAGTAATTCCAATGCATTCATTTTTATTGTAGTTCAGTGTAAGCATTAAATTCAAATCTTACTTTAAGGGTAGCCAGTTATAAGTAAATTCAAAATATTATTCCACTTGCAAATTTTGTATGGCTATCTAATTCTTTAGAGCTATATATTTTCTTCAAAATAGTTTATGCCTTTGTACAGAATATGTATCACGTACCCATGCCTCTGTCTGAATGGGCTTGATATTGCTCAGTAGCACCTCTTCATAGTTTCCGTAGTCAGTGAATTTAACAACTGCCGTCATACCCGAAGAATGGAGGGCTTCAACTTCTGCCCGGTAAAACTGAGGGGGCAAAAGGAGTTTTAAATATGACAATTGGTATTGTCTATAAAGGGCAATATTTGAGGGAAATGCAAATTCTTAAAGTGTTCCAATGTGTAATATTCTTTAGAAGGAAAACTTACCTTTGGAGCCCTTTGACTAACATTAGTAAGACAATTCTTTTTATTTTTTTGAGACAGGGTCTTGCTCTGTCACCCAGGCTGGAGTAAAGTAGCAAGATCTTGGCTCACTGCAACCTCCACCTCCCCAGCCCAAGCGATCCTCCCATTTCAACCTCCCAAGAAGCTGGGACTACAGACGTATGCCACCACACCTGGCTAATTTTTTGGTATTTTTCACAGAGATGGGGGTTTCACCATGTCGCCCAGGCTGGTCTCAAACTCCTGAGCTCAAGCAATCTGCCTGCCTTGGCCTCCCACAGTACTGGGACAAAAGGCGTGAGCCACTGTGCCCAGCCAACAATTCTTTATACTAATCAGAATATATAACTATAGAGTAATTTATTTTAAAAACAGAAATATCTGACTAAAAAAAAAAAAAAATTGCAAAAAAGGCGGCTCATTGTTTCAGTCATCACAAGTGGCTGGAATGAAGTAGGAATGTCAGGTAAGAAGCTAAGCCCATCACTTAAATCCAGTATTTATAGGATTAAAGACATTGCAAGTCCAGAGACTTACCAGTTTCCTTAGTGTTAGCAGGCTCTAAGAACTGATGCATATTAACAAACTCACAAGGAACTGCTTTACTTAATAACTACAATTGTTTATCTACTTATTTATTTATCTTTATTTCTAGAGACAAGTTCTCACTCTGTTGCCCAGGCTGGAATGCAGTGGTATGATCACAGCTCACTGCAACCTCAACCTCCTGGGCTTAAGTTGTCCTCTTGCTGCAGCCTCCTGAGTAGCTGGGTCTATAGGTGCATACAACCATGCCTGGCTAATTTTTAAAAATTTTCAGAGACAGGGTATTGCTAGGTTGCCCAAGCTGGTCTCAAACTCTTGGCCTCAAGTGATCCTCTCTACTTGGCCTCCCAAAGTGTTGGGATTACAAGCATAAGCCACTGTGTCTGGCCAATAACTACAATTTTAAAATTTATCTGTTAAATTAACTGGGAATAGGTCATCTGATTGCAGTAATCTTTCAGTACAGATCATCCCATCCAGGACCCAAATTGTAGGTCTGAATATTGCTTAACTACAATTTTAAAATTTATCTGTTAAATAACTAATATATAGCTCTATTTATCTGTTAAATTAAATGGGAATAAATCATCTGATTGGAGTAATCTTTCAGTACAGATCATCCCTTTCAGGATACAAATTGTAGGTCTGAATGTTGCTTAGTAAATGTGAAATGGAAACAAAGAACAAATTGCTGTTAATGTTTTCTTCAAGCTAAGGTATTTGAATGCTCTATTATAGTATAACACTATCTACTCTAATAGTATCGCTCTTTTTTTTTTTTTTTTGAGATGGAGTCTTCCTTCCTCTGCCGTCCAGGCTGGAGCGCAGTGGTGCAATCTCAGCTCACTGCAACCTCCGCCTCCTGAGTTCCAATGATTCTCCCGCCTCAGGCTCCCGAGTAGCTGGGATTACAGGCATGTGCTACCACGCCTGGCTAAGTTTTGTATTTTAGTAAAGACAGGGTTTTACCATGTTGGCCAGGCTGGTCTCGAACACCTGACCTCAGGTGATCTGCCCGCCTCTGCCTTCCAAAGTACTGGGATTACAGACATGAGCCACCGCACCCAGCCAATAATAGTATCTCTTAAGAGGTTCGCTAGAATTAGAAAATACTAAAGGCAACAAAAATTCATTTTTTTCTCATCCTTCTAAAAAATGAGTTACCCTCAAAATAGTTGGTTTTTAACTAGTATATTTAATATTACAAAGGTAGTTAGTGAATTCATGGTGTTTCCTTTTCAGGTCTGAATGTTAGCAAGTTCAGAGACATGATGCTGTAATTTTCCTCATCTTAGAGTTCTTGTTATACCTTCTCATCTCTCCCCTCTTCCTTTATTTCTTAGCCCCATACTTTTGTGTTCTGTAAATTGTTCTGAGTTGCCAAATTATGCCAGTTCAGGTAAATTAAATAAACATGTTAATTTAAGATATAGCATGAATCATGCTATATCTTAGCATGACTAAGATATATGTATTTTTGACTTGTGATATTTTCAACTCATGATGGGTTTATTGGGATATATATCCAATAAAAAGGCTAAAATCTATATTTATTCTACAAGTGAAGACTTTAACTAGAAGGAATGACATGGTCTAACACCAGGATCACAGTAGTGGCAATACTGGTGACAAATTTAAAAGGAATAAAGTTTCAGGCAAGGAAATCAATATGGAGGTTGTTGTAATGTTCCAGTTGAGGAAAAAATAGCTGAACTAGTTTAGCAGTCTAAAGGAAGAAGAACTTCCCGGAAATTCCCATATTCTCCTATGGAAATGAAGCTAGAGTCACTTACCAAGCCTTTCAAACATTTTGAACATTTCTTGGTGAATTCCAATCTCTTACTTCTGCTCTTGTCAAGGTCACCAATAACCCCACATTATCCAATACAGAAAACACTTTTCCATCCTCATCTTAACCTCTCACGGGGGCATCAGATATAGTGACTATTATTTCTAAGGTAGCTACTGTTGGCTCAATAAATACTGATTTCCAAGTACTTCACTTTTTCTTGCCTCCACCATGAAGGAGAAATAGCTAAATATAATGAATCTCCCACTACTCAAAACAAATAGTTCCTGAATTTTGGAAAGTAAGTGGTCTGAGTTGGAAGAATAAGAATCTGGATGGTGAAGACCACCTGCATCTGTGTTTCAAGCCTTCCTAATAGCCAGGAAGTGGCCATATGAAATAGTTCCAAATCTGCTGGTATTCCTGGGAATACCAGGCTTTTGCTTTTCCAGAGAAAAAGAAAAGACACACAGTGCTGTATCCTCCTTTCCTTCCAGGCTTAAGTAAAGATGTGACAGAGATGCTGTTTCTAAACAATCATCATCCCACTCACACAAAAACCTTAAAAGCCTAGGCCATCTAGCTGTTTCACTCTGTACTCCTTATTCTATCATCAGGCAACATCTAACACTCTGCTTATACATCTAACACTCTGCTTATACCTCATTATTTAATGAACACAAGAAGGCCTGGTTCTTGACCCCAAATCCTATAGCATCCTTAATAAAGGATCCACCCAAATCCCTAGTGTGAATTTCAATTCCTTGAAATCTTCAGTTGCCTTTACTTATACCATTCCCTTTAGCCACACACTCTCATAGGCACACCCTTACTGTATTAACTGCAACCTATAAAATATTTATTTTGGACCGGTGCGGTGGCTCACATCTATAATCCCAGCACTTTGAGAGGCCGAGGCGGGTGGATCACCTGAGGTCAGGAGTTTGAAAACAGCCTGGCCAACATGGTGAAACCCTGTCTCTACTAAAAAAAATACAAAAAATTAGCTCAGCATGGTGGTGCTTGCCTGTAGTCCCAGCTACTCGGGAGGCTGAGGTAGGAGAATTGCTTGAACCTGGGAGGTGGAGGTTGCAGTGAGCTGACATCATGCCATTGCACTCCAGCCTGGGCAACAAGAGTGAAACTCCATCTCAAACAAACAAACAAAAAATTATTTAGAATATTTTTCCTCTTTTGAGTTGCTTCTCACATCCTCCCAGACCTTTTGCTCTGTAACTCCCTTACATACATTTTTATTACCTTGCTATTGTCTTCATCCCCTCACCATCCTACTTTCATCATATATAAGTGCTCTCTCCACAATTAACTAACAGAGTTAACAAATAATTATGAAGTCCCTATACTGTGAAAGAAGCAAGACTACAGACGAAAACCAGATAGACAGAGTCCAGCCTTCAAGGAACTTAATATTATGGTAGTGCAAAGAGATACCAATTCAACAACCAAAACAAAAAATATTTACAAATTGTGATAAATTTAAAAAAGTGATTAAGGCACTGATAAAGAGAATAATGTAAGTAGAAGTATGGGGCAGGTCAAAGAAGGCTTCTTCTAGGAGGTGAGGTTTGAGCCAAGCCCTCAAGGATGAGAAGACTAGCTGACAGAAGAGCAGGTTGGGCAGAAGGAAAAAAAATGTGCCAAGTCCCCTTCTCTCTGATGGTCTCTCTGTCCCTTTCCCTTTCCTGTTCTCACTGTGCTGGTCTTCTAACTCTTGGCTAGGCTTTTACTTGACCCACTGTACTCTTTCTTGCCCTCATCTTCTGTCTTTCCTTCCTTCTTTCCCCTACAATTTCTCTCTTTCCCTTAAGCCACCATATAATATAAAAGTAAAAATTGGTTTAATAATTTTTACACTTGATCTTAGCCAAAAGGCCGAGAAGCGATGGTTTAATAATTTTTAAATCATTACAAGATAAATAATTAACTTACATGTTAACTTTTTTAAAAAGTAGGCTGAATGTGTACTATTTTCTTTCACTGAAAATCTGCAGAATTTCATTTTGTGCCACTCAACTGATTTTCTTCCTTGTGAATCAGCGTAATTTTACCAGAGTGAAAAGCAAACATATGTAATTCAGCTAATGATAAGTAAAATAAAGTTCAACTTCACATAATTACTTTTACAATATTTTTCTGGCACGTAAGCTAAAGCCAAACTGAACTTAACCAAATCTTATGGGACAGATTGTCCCTAGGCATCCATAAAAATATTAAATATTTTGTTTATCCTTCATATATCTATAAATCTGTTCAAAGATTTTAAACAGGTACGATAGTAGGAAAAAACTCATAGTTCCAAAGTGACAGCTTCTAGAAAGTCCTGCTAGAATGTAACATTTAGTAATATTAGTGTATAGTATCTTTAAGGCATCCATACCTTGTTGTCCTCCCAATAAAGTGCAAAACATTCATCTCCAGGTTTCCACATTTTTGCATACTCCATAGGAATAGATGATTCTAGTATTTTTTCTGGCTTAATTGGCCCAGTTCTTCTTTTGGGCCCACTACTGTAAAATATTTTATCATCATAGGGTATAGTTGTGACAGGTCCTGCTGGCTTAATAGGTCCTATTCGTCTTCCTTTCAGTGGCATTTCTACTTCTCCATTTGGAACACCAATGAAACTATTACTTCGAACTGGATTCTGATTATCAGTATTTACATTAAAATGTTTTTCAATTTTTATACCACTGAAAGCTTCATTATTTATTGTTTGTGATTTCCTGTCATAAAAATAATCAGAAATAGATGTTTGGTTTTCTCTTTTTCCACGTTTTTGATTATTATAATCTACACATTCTTGAGGAAGTGGATTTTCTTTTGCCTCTGCAAAGCAGGGACCTTTTCCTGATCTGCTTTGCATAGAGTTATCTCTTTTTTTAAAAGCACCATCACTATGCTGAGAACCTAAAGGATATGAAGTATCTTTAGTTCTGTCATATCTAGAATACGGTCTATCACATTTGATTCTGTCTTCGGCCCATACTTCAGATGCTGAAGAAGTACTTGGTCTTTCAGAACCTCTATTTCGAGGTAATCCACTGCCTTCTAAAACTGACTTTGAATTTTGGGAGTCTCTTTGAAAACGAGGCGGTTTTTCATTTCTTGGCTGCCTGGTATCATTTCTAGGAGGATGTCTCAGATGATTATTATCTTTTACTCCATTTTGCTCAGTATTTGACGATCTGTATTGTCCCTGATGAAGCTGCTGTGGCTGTGATTTAGGTTCTGAAAGGTAAAAGTATACCATATGCAAATTAAGATGAAGACTCTGCATTAATAATTATTTCAAAATGCTTTATTCTATTAATACAAAATTATCAAACTACTATTCTAAAATCTTCTTCCATCTTCCTACATCATTATCTTACTCCTTCTCTGCTTCCTTGGAGTCCTGCATTTCTAATGTACAGTTTTCTTAGTCAGCAACATTAATAAAGTAAAGTAGTAAAATGGACCACAGAAAAATGGTGGATAATCCAAATTCTTATAATACAGCTACCTACATATGCTATTCTGGTAAATCATCTCCTAAAACATTAATGAAACAGATCTGCAAATTGCTAACTCAGAAACGGCTATGAAACTGCACAAGTACAACCCTGATCAACTCCTTCTGAATGCCACTCTAATTTAGAAATATATAGCTATTATTATCAGTCATGTTCTAGCCTTAGCAAAAATGTTTCTTTTCAAATCTTTCTGGATCTGGGAATTGCTACGTGTTTATGTTACAAACAGATATCCTACTATAAAAAAAGAGTTTATGTTACACATAGATATCCTACTATACAAGAGAGTTAATTTTCTTGATCTGTCAAAGTAATTAAGAGTAGGGACTACTTGGAAATACAGAAAAGTGTCAAAAGTGGAAATACCAAAAAAGTGTCAGAAACATTACTAAGCATAACAGTGCCTATAATGTCCAAGAAGTAACATGATAAATATATATAGATAATTTTTGATGGCTATATTTCACATAGTGATTTCTATTCTGTTTCAGTTTGTACCATGTCACTTATACTTTCTTCCTCCATAATTTCACTTAGCATGTCTATAACACGATTACCAAACATACCAAACATACTCATTGGTCTTTGGTGTATGTGTCTTGTTTCTCTCATCATACATAATCAACATGCAGCTGTAATTATTCTTATATTTCCCCAGGGTTACAACTTTTCCAATGAGAGCCTCCACTGACATCTTGGGTGAGACTGTTCCCTCTGTTGCAAGGAAATTAACTACAAGAAAATTAACTTCATTGACCTACAGATACAAAATGCCAAAAGGACCCTCCCCCAGCATCCCCAGGCATACTGACTGTCAAAACTTTCCCCAAAACATTTCCAAACAGCCACCGGAGGCCAAAAGGTATCTGGTAGATTGTTTAAAACAACAGGAATAAACGTTTAAAGGTTACTGAGTGACAAAACAGGTCACGATTAAAGATCAAAGCTCAAAGTGGTCAGGTCAGGCATGGTGGCTCACACCTGTAATCCAAGCACTTTGGAAGGCTGAGGCAGGTGTATCGCTTGAGGCCAGGAGTTTGAGACCACCCTGGGCAACATGGCAAAACCCTGTCTCTACTAAAAATACAAAAATTAACCAGGTGTGGTGGTGCACACCTGCAATCCCAGCTACCCAGGAAGCTGAGGCAAGAGAATCGCTTGAACCTGGGAGATGGAGGTTGCAGTGAGATGAGATTGTGCCACTGCTCTCTGGCCTGGGTGACAGAGCAAGACTCTATCTCCAAAAAAAAAAAAAAAAAAAAAAAAAAAAAGACTCAAAGTGGTCCAAAAAAACCCATTCTCAACCGAACCAATGGAAGCTAGAAGTCAAAAGGCTATAAATACCTTTAAAATTATGGAATATTTTCTAAGGAAAATATTAATCCAGTCAAACCACCCCTTAATTGTGACAAAGAATGAAGATTTTTCTAAGATACAACATTTCAATTAGCCAAGGCCATAAGAGAGATCTTTAAAAAAAGAAAAAAACACTTTCCCTCAAGAATATCTGCCTAATAAACATAATATAATGTCTTATTTTAACAAAAGCAGTCAATATTAAATTTTTCTTTAGAGAGAAGAAAAATGATCACTTTTAGTTTCTGCTGGCATTGTTTACTGTTCAGAAGTAAAGATTCCAGGAAGAACAGCAGTGACCAAAATCAGGACCCAAATGAGCACTTTCAGCAGAAGGCATGTATTGGCTTTTGTTCCAGACATTTTTAGAGAATAAAAGCAGCAGTTGTCTCCTGTTGATTATCTGCTATGTATTAGATAGCCCACACTAGCATTTTATATACATTATCAATAGTCCCCAAGATAGTTTTATGATATAGGTGTTATGAGGCTTAACAGAGAGAAGTAAAGTAAGGTCCCTTGTATAGTACATTGAATAAATAAGTATTTGGGGAGTAAGCTTTTCAGATCTGCTGTTTAGGGATCCATTTTTTCTTATATTATTCCAGTGAGGGCCCCTAATATCTATGATAATCAGGAGGTAGGGAAAAAATTAAGTCATGATGAGAGTAACTAAGTATCCTGGACTACAGATGAAGGATGAATAATGATGTATACAGAATGAAAGTTCAACCAGGCTTGGCAGATGTGGCAGAACTTGATTTCAATTCTTCTAAAAGGAAAATATAAAAAATTTCCTAATCTACAATTTAGAATTAAGGGGTACTATGGGTCTATGGAACTATACTGGAGAACTATATTAATAGGAAAATATAAGATCTTTTCACTTTGTTCCAGATCCAATCTACTTAAAGAATTTCTAATTTTTTATTATTGTTTTTACTAACAATTAACACTTTCATTTATGTACTCAAGCACTCTCATGCACCAACCTTCTTACAGCAAAAGTACTATCCTAGAAAAGAGAATGACAAATTCCTGAAGAGCTTATTATTTAACAAATAAACAAGCTTAGGAAACTGCTGATAGTAAAGAGGAAAAATCATTACACTTAGTACTTAAAATATTATTTTCAGTTACTGAACTGACGATGATGTACATTAGACTATAGAATAAAACTAGTAATTTTGTTAACAATGAACATATTTCATTTCCATTACTATGCTGAGATAACATAGTGAGAGTAAAATTTACAAAGAAAATTATTTTTTAAAAATAAGAATTCCTGGCCAGGCGCAGTGGCTCACCCCTGTAATCCCAGCACTTTGGGAGGCCAAAGCAGGTGTATCACCTGAGGTCAGGAGTTCGAGACCAGCCTGGTCAACATGGTGAAACCCTGTCTCTACTAAAAATGAAAAAAGTAGCCAGGCTTGGTGGCCTGGCTCTGTAATCCCAGCTACTCGGGAGGGTGAAGTGGGAGAATTGTTTGAACCTGGGAGGTGGAAGCTGCAGTGAGCCGAGATCCCACCACTGAACTCCAGCCTGGGCCACAGAGTGAGATCCTGTCTCAAAAAAAAAAAAAGGCCGGCGTGGTGGCTCACGCCTGTAATCCCAGCACTTTGGGAGGTGGAGGCGGGCAGATCACGAGGTCAGGAGATCGAGACCATCCTGGCTAACAGAGTGAAACCCCGTGTCTACTAAAAATACAAAAAAAATTAGCCGGGCGTGGTGGCGGGCACCTATAGTCGCAGCTACTCGGGAGGTTGAGGCAAGAGAATGGCGTGAACCCAGGAGGCGGAGCTTGCAGTGAGCGGAGATTGCACCACTGCACTCCAGCCTGCGCCACAGAGAGAGACTCCGTCTCAAAAAAAAGAATTTCCTTAATACAGTAAAATAAACTCACAGAGGTAGAAAGTGAAAATTGTGGGGGTTTTTTTGTTTGTTTTGTTTTGTTTGGAGACAAAGTCTTGCTCTGTTGCCCAGGCTGGAGTGCACTGGCGTGATCTGGCTCACTGCAGCCTCTGCCTCCCAGGTTCAAGTGATTCTCCTGACTCAGCCTCCCGAGTACCTGAGATTACAGGCACCTGCCACGACGTCTGGATAAGTTTTGTATTTTTAGTAGAGACGGGGTTTCACCATGTTGGCCAGACTGGTCTCGAACTCTTGACCTCATTATCTACCTGCCTAGGCCTCCCAAAGTGCTGGGATTACAGGTGTGAGCCACTGTGCCCAGCCGAAAATTGTGTTTTTAAAAGAAGATAGTTTGGCCGGGTGCGGTGGCTCAAGCCTGTAATCCCAGCACTTTGGGAGACTGAGACGGGCGGATCACAAGGTCAGGAGATCGAGACCAGCCTGGCTAATACGGTGAAACCCCGTCTCTACTAAAAAAATACAAAAAACTAGCCGGGTGAGGTGGCGGGCGCCTGTAGTCCCAGCTACTCGGGAGGCTGAGGCAGGAGAATGGCGTAGACCCGGGAGGCGGAGCTTGCAGTGAGCTGAGATCCGGCCACTGCACTCCAGCCTGGGCGACAGAGCGAGACTCTGTCTCAAAAAAAAAAAAAAAAAAAAAAAGAAGATAGTTTTCATATATATCCATTTCATTGAAAATGAAATACTTAAGAAGTCATTCTTGGATTTCCAATCATTCTTGGATTCATCATCCATTCCTGGATTTCCTTAAGCCCAATACCTTTTATCTTAGGTTAGTTAAATCATAAAGTCATATATAAAGTCAGTATTTTGAAACTGAGCTCATCTATTAAACACATAATAAATATACTCAATTATTAAATTGTGGGAGAGGCAATCTTCCTTCCTCCCTCCCTCCCTCCCTTCCTTCTTTCCTTCCTGCTTGCCTGCCTGCCTGCCTTCTCTCTCTCTCTCTCTCTCTTTCTTTCTTGAGATGGAGCCTCACTCTGTCACCCAGGCTGGAGTACAGTGGTACAATCTTGGCTCAGTGCAACCTCCGCCTCCCGGGTTCAAGCAATTCTCCTGCCTCAGCCTCCCAAGTAGCTGGGATTACAGATGCAGACCACCACGCCTGTCTAATTTTTGTATTTTTAGTAGAGACTGGGTTTCACCATGTTGGCCAGGCTGGTCTCGAACTCTGGACCTCAGGTGATCCACCTGCCTCGGTCTCCCTAAGTGCTGTGATTACCGTGAGCCCCGTGCTCAAACAGAAAAGCAATTTTAAATAAACTAAGGAATATATCCCAAATCAACTGAAAAGGCAGCTCCTTGGTTCCCTGGTCAGAATCTAATTGTTCTCCTCTACCCTTTTTAAGAAGACATCATAATTCTAAACTACATTAGATAGCAAGGGGCAGCACAGGTCAGGTCTGCAATCACTCTAATAAATAT